TCCAAAACATTCCCCTCCGTGTGCTATGCAACTAAGGGATCTCTGGTAACTTTGAATTGAATCACTTCTCCAGTACCTTCATGTGGGCGTAGATTATAATTTCATTCTTTCAGCATTCTAGAAATACCAGTTGTAAGTACTGTCAAGAGGTATCGATATTTTTAGAATAGTTTCTAAGCTATTGCAGGATACAGAGCAGGAACTGTTCCCTATGCAGATGTGTAAACTAAACAAAAAGGCTGCAACACACGAAATCAACTTCCTGAGTAAAGTTCTTACAGACATGCTCACACATGCAGCTAGAGCTCCTAGAAGGCTACCTGCATAGCAAGAAGGTTTAGAAACATTTAACCACCAGATGGAAAACATCAGGCCTTAGCTTCTAAGTGTATACTGTATCTGATCAATTACCAGCTACCAATTTAACTCTTCGTCTGAAGTAACATGCCAAGTTGGGAATCTACTTGATTCCTCTTGCTGTAAAGTCCATCGCTTTTCCAAGTTTTCCTTTTCAGTACTGAAAAGGATAAAGGTCTTTCTAACCTCACCCTTTAAATGACAATTTAACCTATTTCTGTTTGAAATTGTGTTTAAAATAAAACTACCAAAAAGTATTTCCAAAGCAAAACACAAACATGACTGCTGTAACATAAACCTACAGACAGGCAAGCAAAATAAAGACTTGAATGCACGTAAATATTAAGAGATATGACACTGCATAGCAACAATGAGCATTAGAGTATTTTGCCACCACAGCACTGCTGTGCCAAGACAACAGTGCTTCATAAAGTGTGAAATTACAAGTGCTTTCCTAAGATTAATTATCTCTAATTCAGGCCTGAAGTAGCAATCCACTGACAATGCACAATGAATAATGAATGTAAGTGCTAGATAAAAGGATTCATTGTCTGAATCTCTAACACAGGGGTCTCCAATTTTGGAATGAAAGGGAAGGAAAGGTGGAACAATGTAAGGCAGAAATGTAATTAATCTGGAATTTTGTTGAAATATGCAATTTCACATAATATTTTAAATTTTGAGTTGCTAAGGTTTACTTAAAAAATAGCTCATAAAGCGAACTCATACAGCCTTACAGTCACTGACTGATATTTACAACTCTCTTGCCCTTTAAGGATGTTTTGTGAGCATTTATTCCAGAATCTAGCAGTTGCTTACTTCCCCCTTGGAAGTGACCACCAGAGCGCTCATTGCTCAGAATGCCGCACCACACCTCGGGGTGTTGATGGCTCTGTTGCAAGGGTTACTTCAGGTGGCAGTAGTAGAGATGTACTGCTTCTTCCTCAGGCATGATCTTTCAGTATAGTTTGGACCTCAGACTTAACACGTGAGGAAACTTATGTGGAAGCTCGTCTAACATATACTGCTATGTTCATAGTTTATCTGCGGTTGATCTTTCCTGATGTTTCTTTGACTCAAAGTATAATTTAGACATTAATGAAAGTGAAGTAATGAAGATTTGTTTTTTAATTCTGGTTTTATCTAATATTTCAACAACATCTCAGAAACATAGTTTCATGGAAAAATAATTTAGACATTAATGAAAGTGAAGTAATGAAGATTGGTTTTTTAATTCTGGTTTTATCTAAGTAATATTTCAACAACGTCTCAGAAACATAGTTCCATGGAAAAAGAGAGAACCTAATTATTTTAAATACCACTTCCCTAATTACAAGAAGGCAAACCACACATGGGAGGATGAAGCACAAAAGGTACAACGAGAAGAAAAGACCCAGCAGACTATTTTGTGTATGCTGCTGGTTAAATTACTAGAAAGAAACTGCAAATTAAACAGTTTTCACTCTGCTACATATCCTACTGGAAACCAAATGAAGAATACTACTTCTTCGTGTCATCTGGACTCAGCAGCGACTACAAATTCAGGAAGAGTGGTTTCTGTCACCATCTGCTTGTCCTTCCTCCCACAGCATCTTCCTGCCACTTGCTTCTGCTCACATTGAGTTCCACAAACATACATTTTGTACACATTAATCTAACATTTATCAATATTGTACATATTTCAGCCAAATAAAATTTTAATAGCAGAAAATAAACATTCTTGTTGGAAAGCTTCGTAAGAACTCAAAACTGGCAATCCTTTAGAACAAATAATGGCCTGAGATCCAGTAACTCTTAAAGAGCAGATAACTGAAGAATTCCAAGTCACATCAGACCTTGACGGTAGAGACAAACATAGGGAACCACTGACCGAATATAAAGAGAACAGCTATACACCCAACCCAGCCAGGAAAACAAAACGGGGAATGGACACGACTTGCACGATCAGAGAGGAAGGCGTGTAGTAGTTAAGATCTGCGATGAGAAAGGGCAGAAAATGCAAAAGTAGAAGAAAGTCCAGATCTCAGTTATGTTATTTATCAGAGTACAGCATTTAGAGACACTGTCTCAGTGTGGAAAGCGGTATCCATGCACAGGTCTAAAATAGAGAGAATAGAGCCTCTCCCTCATGACAGAAAGAAGCATTCCTCCTGTTTTGTCCATACTGACCTTCCATTAATGAGGCATCAGGAAAAAAGCAGCAGTATTTTAATTTGAATAAAAGAAAACATGACTGAAATGAAAAGCAAGAAGCACCATCACAGAGCAGACCCACAAGAGCTCCTCTGAAAAGCAATCACTTCTCACCAAAAGACATCTATGAAAACAAATTTTATAGTGAAATTAAGTATTGTGACTATATTTAACAAAAATATTTCTAGGGAATCTTCAGGAAGGTCACAGAAGCACAGTAACAATTAAGATGGTCTTCTGTCCAAATGGAACAGCTTTCGATGTCAACTATGCAAGCGGAAACGGCTGTGTCAAACGCTCAGTGCTGCCACAAGCCTTCTGAACTCTGGGCAATATTTCATCGTACACTTAGGAATTTTTTTTCCCTTACAGGTAAACCAAATCTCACTTTCCATGCAGATAATAGTCTTCTATATACATCCAGCCCTCATATGGAAAGTGATTTTACAGATCACAGAACACAGCCCCTCCTGACACGCACTAGGCAATAACATTCAATGGAAAACCAACAGCGTATGTTGGATAGTTTAAGACAACCGGAACACTACCAGGATAAAGCAATTTGGGAGAGCCACAACTCTTTAACCCTATTTCCTACCAACCACCAAGTATATCCTTAGACATTTATTAAATGGTTGAACAAGAAAGCTTTTCTGCTATAGAAACTATCACCCATATATGGACAGCGTGTTATCTTCTTCATTAGTTGAAAAAAATCTTTTGTCAAATTAGGAAACCTGATGTGAAAATACAGCTATACATACTGACTTCTGAAATACTGTTAAGAGTATACATGCTGTAATGCCTCTGTATTCTTAATGCAAACACCTTTATAACAATTTCATAGTTAACAGTGAAAGGCTGGACTTTATGACTTTCTTCAAGTACCCAGGCATTCCACATCCACCTTAATTACATGTATTTCAAGTCACATTTGACCTTTTTGGTTTCTCATGCACTGAAAATGAAGGAAGAATTAGCCTAATGTTTTAAGACTGTTGATCAAAGTTCTTAGAATATATTTCAGCTTTTGAAGTAGTATATATCTAGCAGTTTTCCCAGAAGGGGGAACCAAGTCTCTTTTTTTATGACTGCCAGGACTGGCCCTGCCTCCTGGTGCTGCAGAGCACGGGAAGTCACAGAAATGGAACAGCAAGTCAAGATACGACAGAGAAATTTACAGAGCATGCATTAGCACAGCAAAATTGCTAAAATCCAGGAACACTAGAAAAGAATCTATGAAATCTGACACACGTTATTTTGCAATATATAAAGGTAACAAAAAAAACCCCAACCTTCAGAACTGATGGCAGTACTCCTGCAAGTAATACGCTAAACATATCTCAAGAGATCAGAACCAAAATGACAATTTTAGTTTCTATTTCAAAACTAAACACATTGTCAGGGAATTTTCAAAGTAAATCCAGCAGAGAATTTTTAGAGGGCAAGGGTCTTATAACAAACATCTCTGAGCAGCTCCAAACAAAACAAAAAAAAAAAAAGAGAATGGAAATAATACTGGATAGAGGCTTAGCTCGAGCTGCCTTTCGCCTGTGCAACAATAAAAAAGCAAGAGTTTTTCATTTAAACTGTCACTTTTTGTTTAAATATTTTAAAAATTGCTAACTAATAAAGACAAAATATCTGAACAAATAATCAGCCCATTTCTTATGCTAAAATTTACAAGGGCTTAATGTTTCTTGGCCGTAGTAACTTGATCAGTTGGCTGCTCCTCTATCTTCTGTGACAGAACTGCTGTTTCACTACTGGTTAAGCTGTGAATCTTGGAAATATTCAGGGTCCTCAAGAACATATTTTGACCAATGCAATTCACATAATTCCACAGCGCACTTGCATTTAATTACTACATAGGGTCCCACATACAGATATATTATTGATGAACATGATCATATGAACTCAGCTGTATCCTGAAACCTGAAGGAAACACTGAGCTATAGATTCAAGCGCAGTTTTGGTTTATATTTGTTTCAGATAATTTTCAGTCTTTTGAAAGAGTAATTCCTTTCAACTATTACAAGTTTGATTACATATATTTGATTTATGCACTTCTGAA